CCGCCGAGTAGACGGTGAGAGATTATAAGTCTTCGGCGAACCAAAATAAGTTCACCTTCCTTAAAGCTTCTAAGACAAACCATTCAATCTTAAGCCTTAGTCATTCTTGCTTTGTAGGATTCAAGACTTTACTGAGCTTGAAGTCGAACTTCATCAAGAGCTTCAAGTTCTTCAAGTCGCAGAAGAACATTTTCTTCTTTTGTTAATTCATATTGAACAGCAATACGAAGAGATGGCAACTCAACCTCGAGAGATAATATCACCTCGATTCCGAAAACCAACAAATACGGGGTGGCCTGCTTTGCACTTTTATAAGTGGTACGATCCATCCAGAGAGCTTCTGTCAATTTATTGTGACATTCTCTCTTGTTTTTAGAGAGAATTTTTTTGAGCAATTTTACCAAGATTTTATTAAAAGTTTCATCTAAAATATTGGCTCTTGGATTATATATCAAAGAATAGTGCCAATCTATTTTATGTCGTTCGATAAATTTATAGATTTTAGCACTTTTAAAAGTTGAACCATTGTCAAATATGACTCGACGCGGTTCTCCAAATCGATAAACAATGGAGATCAGTTGCAGCTGAGACAGAAGAAGGGTTCTTAGGGCTTCGTGAGAAGTAGGATGCGCTAGTCATATGGTCAAGTGGTTTGCTAGAAGTGGAAGAGAAGAGGAGGTTAGGCAATTCTCTGACCGGTAGGGTAGCAAATCATGCGAGAGGATCAGATAGTTGGCAATGGAGGTCGCCGAAGGAGGACGGAAAATGGGTTCTAGTCCTGGTACTGGGTTCAGGGGAGAAGACAAGAAGAATGTTATGATTGACTAACTGAGGGGAAGACGACAAAGAATGAGGCCAAGAGGGCTCAGGATACTGTGATTGAGAGGAGCAGTGGTCTTATGTAGGAAATATAGGAGGGAGTGGTTTGCAAGCAATACTAAATGAATGAAGAAGAGAGAAGGTGACTTTGCACAACTTTGAAGGACAATGATCTGCAGAATTTTGAGACGAATGATAAGTACAAGGAAGAGCGCTTGTGTCACCTTGTGCATGTGAAAATTTCACGTTTTTTCTTTGTATTTATGTGCATTTTTTAGTAAATTCATGTTTTAAATGCATTTGCATAATCTGTTTTACAAACAGGTGACGTTCGGGCAGCTTTTGTGTGAAGTGGCTCCCATAGTTCATTGTGTTTTGCCTTCTTTGATCAAAATGCACATGAGATGTCCTTTCAAGGTAAATTCTAACTTCCCAACGCATCGACGCAATACATTTTATAAAACAGACAATGTTTGGTAAATCTTTGCACAACATCACACCCATGGTTAGTCATTTTATTGCATTAAACGATCATGTAGGCCTTTCTTTGATGATTGTCGCTCTGGACACATTGGCGTATATTGTTTTGCAAGTGGTAAATGTTGATGGTTTCAATATTGATCAGGCATTTTGAATTCATTTCGCACAATGATTCGCCAATTAATCACCAATCTCATCACGCTTTCTCGCATTAATCATGAAACGCATATGGAGGTCAATAATTATAAAATAACAGAAAGCAGGATTGAAACTAAAGATGATTATGATGATTTTTGTGAAAATAATCTTTAAAATGATTATGTCATGTAAGTCAAGCCAGCATCTGCAAAACTTGAGGAAGGTGGACAAAGAGCTACAATGGATGATTTGAAAGAAATCCATCTATAAAATAAGGATGATCCTCACGCAACCTTCATCAGCATCCTCCTTCCCGATGATAAAATTGAAGTAATAAAAGCATTAGTATATGAATTCAAAGACTACTTTTGATGGACATATGCTGAGATACCTAGTTTATCCACTAGTATGGCAAGTCATAAGCTTGCTATCAATCTATGCAGTACCTATTTAAAAAACTCGAAGGTGCATGCAACTTGAAATTGAAGAGTATAAATTGTGGAAATCAAAAAGCTCATCGATATAAGTTCATTCACAAAGAAAAGTACATCGATTGGATCATAAATATTGTTCCCATAAAAAAGAAAATGATTAATTTGTATTTGTATCGGCTTCAAGGATCTCATTAAAAGGTGTCCAAAAGATGACTTCTTGCTCTCCATATTAGAACCATAGCTCAACAACACTTCAAATTATATCTTTCTCTGAATTATGGATGGATCATAAGACTATAATAAAACCAAAATAACTCTTAAAGATGAAAATTATACATCATTTAAGATTGCTATTAGAACCTTCTATGACATGGTCATACCCTTTGATTTGAAAAATACTAAGGCTGTCAAAGGGTTATGACATGTATATGTAATGTCTATATGCACCAGAAAGTAAATGCTAGGTTGATGATCTTGTTATCAATAACAAATATTGCAATCACCTTAATGATTTAAGGGTCATATTTGAAAGAATAAAAAATTTTAATTTCAAAATGAATTCACTCAAGTGTGTCCTCGGGGTCTTCTTAGAAAAATTTCATGGGTTTATTATACACCATAGAGAGATTAAAATTAACCCCAACAAAAATTAAGTTAATCATCAATATGACTCCGTTAAAAAACCATCATCAACTTCATTCGTTAAAAGAACAATTTGCGTTCAATTGGCAATATATATCAAACTAGTCAAGCAAATGTCAACCATTTACAAAGTTTGAGAAAAAGAATATTCAATTCAAATATGACGTAGAATGCCAAGAAGCCTTCAATAATATCAAAAAACATATCTATTAAGTCCACCCATTATTGCAGCGCCAATATCAAGAACGCCTCTCATCCTGTATACAACAACACTAGAATAGTATTTTGGCTGTATAGCAACAACATAATAACAAAGAAGATAAAAAAAAAGGCTCTCTATTATATCATTCAAAGGCTAACATAAACAAAAATACACTACTCTTACTATGAAGTATTGTTTGAGATGTATTGTTTGGCTTTGATCTTTGTTGCTAAAAAATTTTGCCATTATATGCTTTCTCACAAAATTACTTTAATAATATGAATTTATTCATTAGAGTTATTCAAGATACGACCAACGATGACTGCTCATTTGACTAGATGGATGATCATGCCCCTACAATTTTATGTTACATGTGTTCCTCATAAGAGAGTGAAAGGATAAATTTTAACAAATTTCCTTGCTACACGTCCTGCTCTTATAAATTCACCTCTAATTCTCTAAACAATGACCTACTTACTGAGCATATTCTGCTTATGCAAAAAAGGTTAAAACAACAAATTTGTGAACTATATTTTGATGGACCATCATCAATTAAACCTAACCAACCTCCAAACATTCCAAAGTTGTAGCTGGTATTGGTCTCATCTTTATAACACCTAAAGGACGTATATTGATAAATTCCCTCGATTTGACTGAACCACAAACCAATAATAAAGCCAAGTACGAAGCTTTGATGGTGGGTCTTGGGATAGACAATACAATAGCAATCTAAAGCATTCACATTTTAAGCAATTCCTAATTTATTATAAACCAAGTGTCTAGCACCTACTAAATCAACAAGCTTGAATTGGCCTATTATCACAAGCAAGTTCTCGAGTTCATTAACGAACTCCATTATATTATTATACCTTGCATTTCTAAAGCTCAAAATAGCAAGGCGGATCATCACCCAAGTTAGCCAAGAAAATGACAAATATTAACGATGAGTCAATGTTGATTAGAGTCCAGTAGACTTACAAGCATAGAAGATAAAGGAGTCATTGAAGTCAGGTCAGCTAGATACAACTTCTGTTTTTATGCACTCTCCATTACAAACTATTTCTCGAAATCAACAAGGGTAGACTCAGACTACTCTAAAAAAACACAAGCTTAGGGAAATTTCAGAACTATAAAATGAAATTTTTATGTAGACATCAAGGCAATTGGAATAGTCTTTCATCAATTACCTCAAAGAAAGTAAACAAGTTGTTATCTGCACTGATCAAAAAACGGGATTTACACTATGCTTGTCAAAAACGCCCTATATCATAGACCCTTCAACTAAATGTGGCAACAATATTTGGGGATTGAGGAGGCTGGAATAGTTGTAGCTAAAGTTCACCAAAGATGTTGGGTGTAGACAAATCAGGCCCAAAGATGACAATTAAAATAAAAAAAGATTATTATTGGCCATCAATGATAAAAATTTACACCAATTATAACAAAACAATATCATGAATGCTAAGTCCATGGAGACACGATTTATCAACCTCCAAATCCTTTACACCCAACAATAGGATCCTGGCCATTTGATGCTCCATCTCTGTGCACTCCAAGCTCAAGGAGTTGGAGTTTCTTTTTGATGTCTTAATTTCACTTACTACAATGAGATCCCTAAGAATTTTAATTCACTGTCCCCTAAGAGGTAATTTTCTCTGGAACTCCTTATCTTTCCTCTTGTGTGTTCTAGCAACTCCCTTTGTTGACATCAAGGTCAACACACGATGGCCCTTCTCTAGGTGTCGTCTTATAAGGCAGATCAAAGAAAGGCTAGCAACCTCTTAGCCACCCATAACCTTTCTGCTGGCTGCTTTTTATAAAAGATTGTTTAACATGCAACAAGAGTTACAAAATAAACACACACACACACATGCATCAACACAATTATATATAAATAAATAAAACACCTTACATCAACACAGCAATAAAATAAAACACACAAAAGTCAATATAAAATCAAACTTTTTGTTCCAATTGTATCAAAATAAAATTTATAATTAATAGGCTACAAGATCAAACAAAAAAGCACTAAGCGAAGTTGTGACCCAAAAGGGTTAAAACGTTATATCAGCTACAGAATAAGAGAAACATGAATAAATAAATAAAATTTCTTCATCTGCATTTTCTCGTGCTAATATTTTTTTAAACTATTAAGTTGTGTAAGAAAAAAAAAACGTGTGGGAAGCACAATTACAAATATATTTTTGCAGCTTTGAACCAGAATAAAATTGTCCACATAACATCTATACTGACTAAAAGATGGTAGTAAAAAAAGTACTAATTACCATCGACTTCTATCCCATTGGGAACAAATGGAACAGACCCTGTTGCAATTAGAATGTCCTTTGCCGTGACTTCTTTGTCAACCGTGCCTACTTTACCATACTTCACCTTTTGAGTTCCCTATTACAAAGCAAGTGTTGATTTCAAAAGCAAGTGATGGAAGCCTCATCTGAAGACTTCAAAGAAAATTTATCAAAGCAAGACATGCCTCAAAATACTATAAAGCACCCACTTCGACAATATGGAAAGCATGTAAAACTTACAACAATCGTACCAACTCCAGTCAGTATGTCCACACCAAGTGCTTTGAGTGAATTGGTCAAATTGCTGCGAATCTTTGAAGCAAGGTTATTTGCATGATCAGCAACACCTTGTCTATCATAACTATGATTCAAAACCTATCATTTAAGGGAATAAGCACCAATAGGAAAAAAAATTGATGTTTCCAATAATAAGAATTTAAGTAAAAATCATTGTTATTGACAAAGCAAACAGATAATCACAAACTTAACATTGATTGCATACCGAGTAAAAAGAATTCCACATGAAAGGTTATATCTTTCCAATGGAAACTGAAACAGTTCTTTCTATTCCATTAGCGTAACCAAGTTTTGAGGAAACCATTTCAATGATCAAAATGCACTGATTCTAATTGCATTCAACAAACACTAAAGTATATTTTGTATGGATGCCAAACAATCATACTTTGTTAAAAAGAACGAGAAAACAAATAAATTCTTCAAATAACAACTACCCAATCTAATGCTTTGAACACAAAATAGATCTCTAGTTAGCAAGGTTTCATTAAAAAGCTAAATGACATGTAGAAACCATTATAAAATTTCAGCTGATTGAGAAAATGCAGAACAATGTAGGTTAGGTTTGATTGATTGCACAATACTAACAATATCTATTTTAATAGAAAACTTATTGTGCAATTATTTTTGAAGTACAGAACACGTAACTAAAGTTTACTACTATCAGTGGAATATTTGAAATTAGCACAAGTTTAGATACCTGCAAACCCATTGATTTCAAGTGATCCTCACTTTGAAGCTCGTGCATCCTACCACTCACAGCAAGAAGAGCTTTAGATGGAACACAACCCCTATTTACACAGGTGCCACCAATAACATCCCCTTCAATGATTGCAGTTTTCAGACCCTGTTCAAGAAATGAAACCAACTAATTATTTAAATTAAACTGAAGCAATCCCCTTTCCAAGTGCTGATGTTAGGTGGTAGAAGCTCCTCTTTTCTCTAATTACATGTTCAAATTCAAGCCATTTGGTTGGTAGCCATAGTACACAATAAACATGGACACTGCTAGGTTCAGTGCAAGACATATACAGCTCATGAGTTCAATTTTATTTCAACACATTCTGATGAATAATCAGTACATCAAAGATATAGCTACGGCAATTTCCCAAACAATAATATTGGATAATCTCTTTTCAATGATGATTCTATAAGATAAAAGACTTGAAAAAGTGGAAATATTTCTTTCTTTGACATATCACTTGTTTCTTATTAAACTCTGGCGTCATCAACCCACATACAATAAGCATAACTCAGAATTAATGGTTTATTATCATATAATGAGGACTGCAATAAGTAAAATGTATGTTCTTATAGTTAAGTCTTGAAATAGATGAACATGTAGATCTTACAAATGTGCCTATTGAAATTTATAGACACTTAGAATATTACAAAATACAATTAAAATGTCACAAAATTATTTTAAAACATTGTTTTTAACTGACAAGGAAAGGATTTAGTTTTATACTCCATCTCTCCAAGAATTATCAAATGGAGATTGCCGTGCAGGTCTAGCTAACTTCAAACTAAGCAACTCTTCATAAAAATCTAAAATGATTATTTTTTATGCTCATAGAACTTGCACCTTGCAGTAAACTCGTAAAGCAAAATGACTAGATAAGTCACAAAATTCGCCTAAATTAGATGTTAAACACTATTAACTTAGGTGAGCCTAGGGGCTAATATTAAAGGGAGTTTTAGCCTACAAGGATAACCCTCAAGCCAAGACAAAGTAAGAAGGGGAGTTTTAGCCTACAAGGATATCCCTCATATCTACCTTGGGACTTGACGATGATACCCTTTGGCCTGTTTCGCCATCAAAGTCATGTCCACGTGTATGTATCAATCCCATCTGTATTTCTTGTAACTTTTTTTAAGTATAGCATCTCCTGTAACATTTCTAACCCTATAATATAGGGTTGAAAAGCATTTTTAGAACTTCATGTCACTCTTATAGATCAAATAGAGTAATAGAAATCTGAGATTTTTTCTCCCTACTCACCCATTTTTCTTTTCCCGAGTAGTCATCCTAGTCAGTATAGCGAGGAAGGTCAAGGTGTCACTCAAAAACAAATTGGATCCATCATAAGAATGGAAGCAACCATTGAGCAAATATTTGTCTCTGCTTATATGTCTCTCCAACACCATAAACAAGAGGAAATTATTGGATGGATGCTACTATCAAGGTAATTAAATCTCCTGAAAACTGTCTAGTTTCCTAAAATCCTTCCAACTGACTTCTCACATTTTATGAATCGTGGATTTAAAGAACTTTCACTCCACACAATAATATGGTATAACGGATATATCGCTAGCTAAAATATCAAGCTTTACAAAACCATTATTCCTCAGTTGAAATTCCAACATACCAACTTTATGTTATCCATCCAAAATAAATTTGGAAAGTCATTTCACTCCGTTACTGTAATTAGATCATCAAAATCAATATAGGTTAAAAACTTATCTTCCACCAACCAAAGGACATAACAATACAACACAACTCCCATTGGCAACATGGCCTAGTTTTGCACCCTTAGATTCGTCAGGAGATAAAGAATGTCCTTAAGCAAAGGACATCTCAATTTAGAAAGGGTTTCCAAGACATTATGGCACAGATCAACACCCTTCGACTCAGTCAGGTGAAGGAATGTCCCCTCACTATTTTCTTTTTCTTTTCATGTGTAATAACCCTTAATGAATCAAGGTATGGTTGCCCATCTCATTCCACAATTTTTTTGCATAAATTGCAGTTGATTATTTTCTAAATCACTAACTTAGACTTCAGGGATTTTCCCTAGGTATGCACCATCCAGACATAATGACTTTATTGGTAGGAACATCCAGCATTACCGGTGGAATCACTTACGACGCTTCACTCGAAAAAACGCAGATTTCGGCACGCACTAAAGCACCAAATACTCCACGAACTCCAAAAAAATTATATATAGTTGAATCTTTGCTCAGTGGCTTTGCACATCCAGACAAGAAGAGCCCAAAAAATACGTTGCGCTCGAAAGAAAGCAAAAATATCTCGTACCTTCTCCACTGCATGCAGTGCTGCTCCATGGCCGCCAACACCAGCTCCAATGATAACGAGATCGTAATCGAACCCCTTCCCCGTGCTGCCATTGTCGGTGACAGCAGCCAAGGTTTTTTTACAGAGCTTCCGAGAAGAAACCAAATGTGGGCTCCTACCCACCCCCGCGAACTTGCGCACGCAGAACCGCAGCGCCTGCCCTTGGAGGCGGCTGAAGCTTACCCCTTCTGGTGTGACACCAACACCCGCTACGAGGAACCTCGCCGGATCGGATCTGGAGATCGCCGGTGTGGAAAAGGAGAGAGAAATAGATCCCTGCATCTTTAATTCTAGGACAGAACAGGTAGAGAGCGGACTACAGAGTTGGAGGTTGGGTTCAACGACATAAGGAAATGGAAGGATTTAAAGAGAGGAAGATTCGCGGAATACGGACCCGAGGCGGAGGAATCGAAGTCGCGGTGTGGCTGAGATTTTTATGAGGGGGCAAGTCCGCCGTGGACCATTTAGTTGCAACAACTAATTGAAGCTGTATTAAAGCTAAATTTAAGGATTTATTTTCTTTAAAGTTGTCTCTTAAGCATATTCTGTGTGAAATTCGAACATGTTTGGTCCAGTGAATTAAGTTACATGGCGCATTCGGATTTGTCTCCGAATATATTCAGATTCCGCACAGAATAAACTATCCTTAAGTAGGAAAAATTATTTAGTTGCAACAACTAATTGAGGTTGTATTAAAGCTAAATTTAAGGATTAATTTTCTTTAAAGTTGTCTCTTAAGCAGGGAAAATTAATCTGTACGAAATTCGAACATGTTTGGCCCCGTGCATTCAGTGACGTGGCGCATTCGAATTTGTCTCCGAATATATTCAGATTCCGTACAGAATAAACTATCCTTAAATAAGAGGTGTTGTAACTTCAATTGGAGGGAGGCTGAGAATAGGTGGTTGAGTGAATAAAAATTGTATGTTTTTAGATAAAAAATTTGTGAGCTGAAGGCAAATTTGGCCCGGTTGAATATTTGGTGGCGACAAAGGGCAAAAGTAAAATGGATTGAAGAGGAGGATTCTAATACAAAGTTTTTTCATACTTTTGCCACTGTTAGAAGGCAGGGGAATTGGATTAACCAAGTTAAACATGCTAATGGAATACTGTTTGAAGACCATAAGGATATTGAAAAAATTTGTTTTAACTATTTTCAAGACAAGTGGAGATATAGATAGTGTAAGCTGAGTAATTGGCCTCTTCCGTGGAATTTAATTGATGACAATGACAGAAGTGTACTAGATGTTGAGTTCTCGGATAAGGAAATCATGGAGGTAATTAACAATATGGAAGGAAACAAATCTCAGGGTTGTTGCGTCCAGGAGTATTCACGGTGGTAGAGAAATATAAAGTTTAACGTCTTAGCGTTGTACGAAAATCCGACACGCAATCAGATAAGAGAGAAAGTGTATATCATTCATAGGAGACACCAATATTTTTACGTGAAAAATCCTCTGAAAAGGGAAAAACCCACAGGGCCTAGCCCAGTTTGAATGAATCCACTAGTATTGCAGTTGATTACAAATAAGGCCCTTCCTTGGGAGAAGGCCTTAGCTTGATGTACATTTTATAGAGTATATTATATGATTTGAATACAAAGAATCACTATTGACGTGTTTGTTTGGTCAGGATGATCATAGTCTGGTGACGGAGGTCGGAAAGATTGTAGTCTGCGGACGACGTAAGTCAGGAGGACCGTAGTCGGCCGGCGACGGAGGTCGGAAGGACTGTAGTCGGAGGGCGACGTAAGTCAGAAGGACCGTAGTCAGCAGACGGCGGAGGTCAAAAAGACTATAGTCGACGGGCGACGTAAGTCAGGAGGACCATAGTCGGCGGGCAACATAAGTCAAAAAGACTATAGTCGACGGGCGGCGTAAGTCAAGAGGACCATAATCGGTGGGCGATGGAGGTCGGAAAGACTGTAGTCGGCGGGCGACGTAAGTCAGGAGGACCGTAGTCGGCTGGCTATGGAGTCGGTGGACAACGTAAGTCAGAAGGACTATTGTCTAACGATGAAGGTCAGAAGGATGGCGTCAGGTAGAAGTCCAACAATGGAAAGAAACCCATCTTCGGATAAATGTCCAGTGAAAGTCTGATAACCGGTAGAAGTCCAGTGTCAGGTAGAAACTTGGCGATGAGTGAAGGTCCGACGTCGGGTAGAAGTCCGACATCTATTGGTGGCCGAGGAGAACTCCGGTATCACTTGGGCGGAGTTTCAACGTCAGGGGGAAACTCTGTCATTACTTGGGCAGAATGTCAGCATCCCGTGGAAATCAGGAAAAATTCCGGCGTCCCGTGGAAGTCGGGCAGAATTTCGGTGTCCCGTGGAAGTCAGGCAGAATTCCGGCGTCATTTGGAGTTCGGGTGGAACTCCGATGGTGGTCGAGGAGGAGTCTCTTCCCTCCTACTCTTCTCTTTTCCTCTTCTTCTTATTGTCTTCCTCTCTCATGAGAAATGAGGGGTCTATTTATAGATTTCCTAGAGTGGCATAGCTTGTAAATAGGTGTGAGATCAGGGGCAAATAGGAAGTGGTCGAATGGACGGCTGATATTGAATCCCTTGATCATGCACCTTTTGTAAGACATTTGAAGTTCTTAGTGATGTCGGAATTCAGCGATCTTGGGCTCGTTAGATTTGTCTCGTCGAGCCGCTCAATTTGACTATAAGCTCATCAAATTCAAAAACAATTTGGTAACTCAAATTGTGGTACGAGTCTTATAACAGTGCTTTGGGTCTTTGATTTGGACCCATTTGTGGTCGGATTGAGTTGAATTTGGTGTCGTTGGATTCGTAAATCCAAGACCATCAGTTAGACTATAAGTTTACTGAAATCGAAGTTCAGATAATCCCAAATTTAATTTTTGGAGTTTCTGACTTGATTTTTGCATCAAGATTTGTGCCCGATCAAGATAATTTTATGATGACGTATTAGTTTCCCCCCTATTTCTGGACGTTGAACCTCCAGAAGTCTGAAAATACTTATTCCAAAATTTTACATTGGTCGAATCGCAAAAAATTGCATTCCAAAAATTGAACATTTGCTCAAACTTGATCATAGAGGCGCTGTTGAGCTCTGAAAGTATCAAAATTGAGTCTAGAACGTCAAAAAACGTGTCCGGATACCCCAAAAACGTCGAATTTGGACCGCCCTGACTAAAAATCAGGCCCGGGCACGTGTAGGAGGCCAAACCGGCCGGCAGGCCGGCCGGCTGCCAGTGGCAGTACCCGCGTCGCGCGCTAACAGGCACGTCTGCGCAGTGTCAATCTTCTTACAGTCGAGGCATTTCGTTGTTTTTCGTAGGTGATTTTCTCTACTAAAATCGGCGCCCCTCCTCTTGTACAGAAGTTAGACTTTTTTGCATCCATTTCTTTTCTTTCTCATTTCTCATTCTAACTTTCTTACGGTTGAGGCATTCCTCTGTTTATTGTAGGTGGTATCTCCTACTAAAATTCAGGGCCCATCTCCGTGTGTAGAAGTTAGAATTTTTGCAACTTGTTATTTCCTTCTCTTCTAGTCTTTTTCTTACATTAGAGGCATTCCACTGTTAGAGATAGATGGCATTCCCCTATCAAGTTTCAGTGTCCCTCTTTTGTGTAGAAGGAGAATTTTTTCCTTCTTATCCTCCGCTTGCGTTCTTCTTTTTACATTGGAGGCATTCCACTGTTAGAGATAGGCGGCATTCCCCTATCAAGTTTCAGTGCCCCTCTATTGTGTAGAAGAAGTCGCAATGAGAGGCTATCTTCTTAATAGATAACTCTTGACAGAAGAAAATTCATTGCTGCTTGTATGCGATGGTGATTTGAGAAGTCCTGACGTTGATAGTGTCTTGGAGGAGAACCAGAAGTACGTGATGAGTAGACAAGGAATTTTTCAACACCATTTGAGCAGAAGTCTGTCAGTGATGGACGATTGAGTTGAAGCCTATTAGCAGTCAATGATCACGTGTAGAGCTGAAGGAGAGAGTTCGAAGGTGTGTTGCAAGTAGCAGTCGAGCGACAATAAAATGATGGCTGAAGTAAAGGACCGCTGAAAAATATCAGACGAATGTCTGATGATAGCGGTAGTCCAGTAACATTTTGCTAAACAATATGCATCTATACTGAAGTGTAGCGACATCAGATATCCCTGATTCAAGAGGCTGGAGCAGTGCGTTACATCAGTGGTCTGGCGACACACATATAGTGTTAACTGAGTTGAGGTTTGATGAAGACCAAATTATAATCTTTCTTTAAAGAAGAAGTTGTAGGAGATGTTTTATATGCAGTAGAGAAGAAGTCACAAAATCCAGCAAGGATATTTGACTGTTGTAAAGTTTCTTGTTTCTTGTTACTTGATGATTGTAACTTGTATGGATGATACCAATGTACATTTTGCTTTCAGATTCTTGCAAAACTGAACTTGTTGTATAATTTTTTGCAATGTAACTCCAATGACATTGAATATGAAGTTGAGATCTTATCCCTTAGAGGAAATTGAATTGTTATTGCATCTTTGAGCATGCATAATATACATTTTAAGGCTTTTTAGCCTGCTAAGAATCTTTGTAGAAGATGTCAAAAGAATCTATCAAGAATGTGAGACCTATCTGAGGTTGTATGTCAGAGCCTTGCTTAATGACGTTAATTTGTGTGGAAGAGGTCTAGAGAATCCACCAAGGATGTGAGACCTATCTGAGATTGTATATCGGAGCCTTTGCTCGACGACCTTAACCTTTATAGAATAGGACGAGAGAATCCACCAAGGATTTGAGACCTATCCGAGGTTGTATGTCAGAGTCTTTGCACGATGACGTTAACTTATATGGAAGAGGTCGAGAGAATCCACCAAGAATGTGAGACCTATCCGAGGTTGTATGTCAGACCCTTTGCTCAATGATGTTAACCTGTGTGGAAGAGGTCGAGAGAATCCACCAAGGATGTGAGACCTATCCGAGGTTGTATGTCGGAGCCTTTGCTCGACGACGTTAACCTGTTGGAAGAGGTCGAGAAAATCAATCAAGAATGTGAGACCTATCCGAGGTTATATGTCGGAGCCTTTGCTCTATGACGTTAACTTGTGTGGAAGAGGTCGAGAGAATCTACCAATGATATGAGACTTATCCGAGGTTGTATGTCAGAGCCTTTACTCGACGACATTAACCTGTATGGAAGAGATCGAGAGAATCCACCAAGGATGTGAGACCCATCCGAGGTTGTATGTCGGAGTCTTTACTCGATGACATTAACCTATACGAAAGAGGTCGAGAGAATCCACGAAGGATGTGAGACCTATCCGAGATTATATGTCAGAGCCTTTGCTCGATGACGTTAACCTATATGGAAGAGGTTAAGAGAATCCACCAAGGATGTGAGACCTATCCGAGGTTATATGTCGGAGCCTTTGCTCGACGATGTTAACTTGTACGAAAGAGGTCGAGAGAATCCACCAAAGATGTGAGAACTATCCAAGATTGTATGTCGG